GAATCTGGCAAATACTCAGTGAGCATGAACTTTGATAGTATTAATAACATAGAACCTGATGCTGGAACTTGGAGGCTTGGAGGGAGGACATGAGGGCTGCTGTTGGCCCAGATGCCTCCTCTTTTTCTTTTCTTTCCTTAAGTGGAAGCAAAAGGCTGCCTCTTGTGCAGAAGCTCACCTTGACATTGAAGGGGGCTCCCCTGTTGGGGTGGACCACTTAGCCCATTCAGTAGATATCATCAGCTGCCCACTATGAGCCCAGGTCAGTGCTGTGTCCTCAAAGTAAACAGCCCCTTCCCTGAGGACTCTGTGGTCCAGGGGAAGAAACAAACATAAACAGAGTTTCACTGTGATGTGCTAGCAGCTAAGATCAACGCTCTTTTCTTTAAGATAAAGGCTATAATCTACAGTAGCAGAACTGAATTAAAAAAAGGAGAAGGTTTGCAGACTGTATAGATTGCGTAACATAGACAATTGGGGCAACCTCAATGCTGGATTATTAAAATTAATATCACCAAGTGATCATATCGACCACAGAGATGCTTTATGTGAACTACGGAGGTGAAAACAGTTTTGGTGCTCTGGACATCAAGCTCCTAAGGAGCTAGAAATAGGGCCAAGATGACTAAGCAAACTTGGCAACCTTGTGTAGGAAGTAAGGAAGCGGGGATAAGCAACATTTTTTCCCCCCAAGTTATTATGTAGTTTTGAAATTTTGAAATTTGTGACTCCCTCAAAGGTTTGGAATATAAGGCAAGAAAAGTATCAGCCCTGCTTAACATAAATAAAAAGACCAAATGATCAGTATGGGCTTCTGTTCATTTGACTAGTAGCTAAGTCACCAGGTCTGCTCGTGGGAAGAAAGAATAATCTGTAAATGTGATGGAAGAAACACTTCCAGCTTTGTGTTGCTTTAGAGAGATCCAGGGCTAGGGATGGGTGTGTGAATGACAAAGACAGCAGCTGCTCGGAGCCTTTGTTTTCTTACTTGTTACATGGGAATGATAATGGCATTGATAAACCTCGTGGGCATCAGGTCTGTGCTAGTGCAGGGTCACTGCACAATATCAGAGTTTTCTCTCTAGAAAAGATATAAATACTGGAGAGGAGCAGCTATTTGCAAACTTGTTGGAATGTTCTGATTCAATTTTGGCATGCACACCTTACATAACCCACAAAGCAAGATACTGAAATTAACAAAAATAAAATTGTGTATCTGCCGCTCTAAATCCTGCTTTGATAGGGCATAGGAGGGGGGATCCTGGCTGGGGAGGCCCCTGCAGCTGAATCTTTCATCGGTAAGAGAAGCGGCATGGAAACCTGGCATAGCAGCTTCTTGCAGGAGACCCCTGCACGTTCTGATAGGTATGGAGGAGCTATTGCTGCTCTAAGACTGACTGACCTGAGGTTACACCTCTCATGGAGGTCTTTGGCCATTTCCAAAGAAGCTGCCTGACCCAAGTTGATTCCTGACCCTTTCTGGTAGCTTTGCATGTTGGATGTCACGGGAAGGCCAGTGTTCATTTCTGCTTTTTCTAAAGTGACAGTCATCTAGGCCTCTGCTGCTATACTGAGTGATCAGCCTCACATTAGAAAAGGAAAGACTCTTGCCATTGTCACCATTCCTAAGCAATATGAGGCAGTCCCTGGGAGCAGGGACTTCACAGAATTTTCACAAAGATGACAAGGGAGATTGCTCCGGGCTGTGACTCCAAGGCAGAAGGATTATTTGTCTGAATGTCACTGTCACTCGTTTTGTGTGTCTACGTGTCTACATTAATTTTCTAACAGCGTTAAGACAAGTCTTCCTTAACTTAGTTTGTGGGTTTAGTGGACATTCATCAGCCTGGACTATGGAACTAGGACTTGGGGGTCTTGGAGCCTGGTCTCAGATCTTTCATTGACTTGGAGCTATTTTAGATTTTGTGACTTGATCTTTGCACCTTTCTTTTAAAAAATATTTTATTTATTTTTGCATAGAAGAACTGGGGTGCAGGCCAGAGGTGCAGGGGGTGAGAGGACTACCAGAGACAGAGTGGGGAGCAGAAATGATCTAATGAAAATCTGCTGAGGGGAGCAGTGGGTGACAGGAGAGGTCTGCTGAGCCATGTGGGTCAGCTCCCTGGCGGGGGATCGATCTCAGGCTTTAACACTGAGACCCAAGCCCTCGGCAACCAGGGAGGCCCTGATCTTTATACTTTTTACCACATGTAGAATGAGACTATTTATCAAATGGACACCAGCACCCCTATGTTTAATGCAGCACTATTTACAAAAGATGAGCTGTGGAAACAATCCAAATGTCCAAAAATAGATGACTGGATCAAGAAGATTTGGTATATATACACAAAGGAATATTACTCAGCAATCAAAAAAGATAAACTCATGCCATTTGCATTAACATGGATGGAGCTGGAAGGGATCATGCTCAATGAAATAAGCCAGAAAAAAAGAGAAAAATATCAGATGGCCTCACTTATAGGAAGAATGCAGAAGATCCAGGGCCTCCCTGGTGGCACAGTGGGTTGAGTGCAACACTGTGGAGCCATCCGCAGCCTCTGTAGCGCAGATTCGATTCCCGGCCAGCCAGGGAGATACCCACATGGCATGGCAGACCTCTCCTGTCTCGCCTGCTGCTCCCTTCAGCAGTGTATTTCAGTAAATATGCCTGTTCTGTTCCCCGCTCTGTCTCTGGTGAATCTTCTCACCCTCCCATGCCTCTGGCCTGTACCCTAGTTCTTGTATAAATTAAAAAAAAAAAAAAAAAGAATGTAGAAGATCCAAATAAGGGATTGGGGGAAAAAAGGTAACTATAATAAAGTAAAAATCAAAATCATCAGACAACTATAAACCAGAGACATTCTGCAGTGGGGGAGAAGGGAGAAGGATCAAAACAGGGGTGGGAGGAGCACAAGGGACCGTGGTGATGGTTCACGGGTAAATGGGTGGTGGGAATTTCACAGGGACTATAACCAAGATGAAAATGCATACATTTTACAAAAATGAAAAATGAAGTAAAAATATATAAGATAATAATAATAGAAAGAATGAGCCCATTCATCAATGAACACTTCTTTCCCGAAGTGTTCAGGATTTGTGCAGGACTCATTCACATGCAAGTTTGTTTCCTGGGCTATAGAAATAAATACTACAGAGCGAGTATAGTCATCTCTGGAGAGGGGTGTGTCTCCCGAAGGCATTCAGGGGATGCCATCCTGAGACTGGGCCCTGGGACTGTCCCTACAACCAGGGAAGTTGGATGGAGCAGATCTGGCTGCCTGCGGGATGGGAGGTGGGAGGTGGTGAAGGTGGGAGGCACTCAGGCCCTGGGTCACACTCAGGTCAGAATTCTCTTGCTGAGTGACTTTGGGCAATTTACATAATCTGTGTGAGCTTCTGTGCCTCCCTGTGGGGTGAAGCGATGGCAGTGATAATGACCTTTTTTCAGAGGGTTATTGTGACCAAGGATGCAGACACCTGCACAGCCCATCAGATGCAATGGGCTGTAGAAGAACCCCTTCCTTTTTCTCAGTGCTAAATAGATTGAGAATGGAGAAAAAAGAATTGGCCAAGTGCAGTGAAATCACTGCCTTTGTTATTATTATTATTTCACCGTGGATTTAATCTTCTATATTGCTGGAAATGAAAAGAAGCACAGCATAATCAGAGCACCCACTGAACTCACCAAAACTCACATGTGGGCAGATTTGATCCCCTGTCACAGGACTTGTGTTTGTTACGGACTGGCTGACTTCTAAAGAGGAATGAAAAAGGGGCTGGGTATGTCTTTGGAGGTGGGACCCAGACTCCAGAATTTTTAAAAAGCTTCTGTATTTACAGTGTGCTTCTGTGTCAGGGCCCAGTTCTGTAGGCACAAGACATATTTTGCTATCCTCTGTGTCACTGAATATGCCTCCATTGACTCCCTTACCTTCTTCGCTTGGAGGAAAAAATCCTACTAGTCCTTCAGCATTGCGTGGGTATGTCTCCTCTGTTCAGTCTGTCCTTTCTGCCTCACTTCCCTCAAGCAGCATTGCCCAATCCATGCTGGAAGCAACTATTCGTCCACAGGAGCTATTTTATGAGGTGTATTCTGTGTTGGAATTATTTGATAACTAGATTGGTGAATGTTTTTGTGAAAGTCCACACACATACACACATCTGTCAAAAGAGAGAAAAAATTCTCAAAGTATATCCACTAGTTATTAAGGGATCTTAATTCTGAGGAAAGGGAATAGGGGAGAGGAGGACATTTATGTTTTTTTGTTCCTGTGTGCTCAGTTGACTTCTGATTGCTCTGGTTTTTAAATCACCCTGTGCTGTGATAGTACCACAAAGATAATCTGAAAGAGGAAAGTTGGTTTTCTGTTCTGCATTTCTTCCTGGGATGACCTGTGTCACCTAAGTCATCACTCCAATTTTAGATGGTGTTTTGCCCTCTCCTGTCCTTCCCCCCCACCAACTCTTTTTTGTTTTTAAAGCTTTTATTTATTTTTGTATAGAAGAACTGGGGTGTAGGCCAGAGGTGTGGTGGGAGTGGGGGTGGGTGAGAGAATTTACCAGAGACAGTGGGGAGCAGAACAGGTGGATCCACTGAAATCCACTGCTAAGGGGAGCAGAACAGGTGGATCCACTGAAATCCACTGCTAAGGGCGAGACAGGAGAGGTCTGCTGAGCCCTATCTGAGTCAGCTCCCTGGCGGGGGATCCAACTCAGGCCCTAGTGGTGATAGTGCTGAGACTTAACCCCTAGGCCACCAGGGAGACCCCCAACTCTTTTATTCTTCTTTTCTATATCCCAAGTGATCAGAGGTGTAGTCAGTGATGGGGAAGGGACAAGTTTAACTTCCACAATCCCAGACTTGTCTTGGTGCCTTACTTGGTAGGAAGAGGTGATATTTTTCCCAACTATCTCTATTGCGTCATTGCTATGACTGAGGGGATAATAGGAAAGAGAGGCTTTGTTTTCTGCTCTAACCCTATGTGCCTTTCCTCACACAGGTGCACTACGGAGCTGAAGTTGTGAAGGATGGGTAAAGACTTCCGTTACTATTTCCAGCACCCCTGGTCTCGCATGATTGTGGCCTACTTGGTGATCTTCTTTAACTTCTTAATATTTGCGGAGGACCCGGTTTCTCACAGCCAAACAGAAGCCAATGTTATTGTTGTTGGAAACTGTTTTTCATTTGTAACAAATAAATACCCTAGAGGAGTTGGCTGGAGGCTCCTGAAGGTGCTTCTATGGCTACTGGCCATTCTCATAGGACTAATAGCTGGCAAATTTCTGTTCCATCAGCGTTTGTTTGGTAAGTACCCGTGAGATGTTCCACTGATAATTATTTGATTTCTGTTCTTCAGGATGAAACTTGGTTATTTCTAAATGCCAATGTAAGATGCATTTTCATTTGCTCCCCCCTCCCCCAGCCTTAATTTGTTATGCACTGTTGTAGCTCTGTCTGTTCTTCCACTATTCTGTTTAATGTCCTGCTCCTCTATGGCCTAAGGAGAATTAGCAGGAGGTAAAATTAGTACCAAACTTCATTTCAAAAAATGGCTTTGTAGCTAAAATGAATGTGTGTGATCTCATTTAGGGAGGATGTGAAAATAGCTCTTTCCCCATAAACACAGCCTAAGTATGGCATCAGAGAGAGTCTATAAATTGTAGAGGTAACATCACATTTTCATTAAAGTGAGTTAACCGTTACCCATATATTTACACATATTGTTCATTTGGGGGAATTGCAACAGAAATTCTAACTTTTTACCTTCACTTTTTTTTTCCTTTTTTTAAACATTGGCCTTAGGATGTTTATTGAGTTTGTTTATCCACAAAATGATATATAGGAAGCAATCTATTGGTTGTTAGCAACAGAAAAGGAACTAAATTAGTTTAAGTTAAAGAGGCAGCTTACTATAATGACATTGGTAAAATTCACAGAGACCAAGGATAGAATTCATCTTGATTATAGAGAAAAATGGAGCCAGAGGTGGATTGTCAGCTGTTCTTTGTCTTGCTTCTTTGTCATATCTGCTTTATTTTCTATTTACCCTGAAGATCAGTTTACATCCACTTGGAGAGTCTGACTTGAGTCTCCTGGTCCCAAGTTTAAACTCTCAGGGGAGATACTGAAATTAGTTTCACTGTGGGCCTACCTCTGATCTAATTGATTGTGTCCAGGAGGCGGGTGATAATATGAAACAAATTCATCGACCACTTATTACATGCCAGGCTCACTCTTCTGGACAGTCTCAAGAAGGCAAGGTCATTACCCTCATAGAAGCAGGAGGCTTCTACCCACATTTTGCAGGAGGCACTAAGCAAGTAAGTGCATGATACACAAAAGTGATAAATACTAATGGCAAAAGGTTTCAAATACTGCTCATTGAATTTGGAAGATAACTTAGTAACACAACTTTGAATTTAATAATTGCAAGATCATAGGTGACTTAGCATGGGTATTTGCAATCTAGAACCTTAGTTAGAAACAGATGGCAGTGATTTAATGATTGAACAAATCAATAAATATTCATATATGTATGTGTACCATTATAAATTTGAATGACATCTATCTGAATTTTTGAGCGGTTTTCTCTGTGAGGTTTTCGTTACCTTCAACAGAACTTGAAAGATTAATCAGGGTGGGGACTGCTCAGGCTGCTGTATTGGACACAAAGGATGAAAAATATATGGAGAGTTCTAATAAAAGACTTACTGATTTGGTTACCAGGGACATTCTGCCTGGACCAGGAAAAAAGGTAAGGAGGATGATGGTCTGGGAACATTGAACAAGGGCCTGAAGGTATGGCTGAAACTGAATAGATGGAATGGGAATAACAAAGGGGAAGGGTGGGTGGGTGTGGTGATTTGTCATGTTGTAACAGAAGTATGGTCATTCGTTGGTGGTGATTCCCAGCGAGGGTGTGATCTCTAGAGAGTGGGTGCTAAACTAAAGTGGGACACAGGTCAGCGATAGAGAAGATTCCTAGGAACTGGGTATTAGTTGGGCCATCCAGCAAAAACTGAACAAACATGGTGTGGTGCATAGTGTTGTTATGGACTGGAATTAATAACTACATTATTAATTACAAACCATGGCTAGATGGTTGTATTTGTGACCCTTTTAATGACTTTGTGTAGAAAACTAAGGTGAACTTCTACCAAAATACCCAGTTTGGAGAAAAGTTGCTTGCTTATAGTAAAGGCATTGAGAATCTTATCATCAATTTGCAAGATTGCAAATGGTATTAATAATAAGGTAATGGTATTAATAATAAGGGAAGATCATCTCGTTGTATAATTGCACCTTTTGTTAAGTTATTCTATTGCAAAGTTTAACTCTTAAAATAAAATCTCATTTCAAGCATGGCTTACTTTTTAGTTCTCCTGTTGGTATAAACAGTTTAGCCCTGAAAAATCACTCTAGATCTCTAGTGGTTTATTGCATGTAAGTTGTTTTAAAGTAACACAAAAGAACATTGTAATTTTTTTGGTTTACAATAGGAAATCTTTTTTAAAAATGTATTTACATATATATATATTTACATCATTGTTCATTTTTGTACAATGTTTGATTTCTCATATCAGGTGTAGTCCCCATAAAATTCCCACCACCAAGTCACCCGTGAACCCTTACCATAGTCTCTTATCTTCTTCCCTCCCCTGTTTTAATCCCTCTTCCTCCCTCTCCCCTAGCTGAATGTCTCCAATTTATAATTTGCCTGCAAGTTTGTCTTTTGTTTTTTCCTGATCCCTTGTTCGGTTCCCCTATAGTCCTCCTATAAGTGAAACCATCTGATATTTTTCTTTTTCCTTCTGACTTATTACACTGAGCATCATCCCTTCCAGCCCCATCCACATTGCTGCAAATGTCATGAATTTGTCTTTTTTGATTTCTGAGTAGTATTCCATTGTGTATATAGACTACATCTTCTTGATCTAGTCATCTGTTTTTGGGCATTTAGGTTGTTTCCATATCTTAGCTACAATAGGAAATATCCTATAATGTAGTCAGCTTTATTGCTTCTATTTGTCAGTTTTCTTATTTTTTTTTCTTACTAAAAACATATACAATTATATGGCATATTAGAAAAGGAATGATAACTTCCTGCAAACCTTGGTGATCAGAGGATAAGATCTCCAAACTTGTGATTGAGTTGTTTTATTTTTTAATTTTTAAATTTTTATTTTTTTAAAAAAGATTTATTTATTTATTTATACAAGAACCGGGGTACAGGCCAGATCCGCGGGAGGGTGAGAGGATTCACCAGAGACAGAGTGGGGAACAGAACAGGCAGACTGATGAAATACACTGCTGAGAGGAGCAGCGGGTGAGACAGGAGAGGTCTGCCTGTCATGTGGGTTGCTGTGAGGCTGGCTAGGATCGAACCCTCACTGCAGAGGCTGTGGACAGCCCCACAGCGCTGCACTCAACTGCCTGCACCATCAGGGGAGGCCCAGTTTTTTTTAATCATATTTTTAATTTTATATATATTTTTACATCATTTTTCATTTTTGCACAATGTATGCATTTTCATCTTGGTTATAGTCCCCATGAAATTCCCACCACCCATTCACCCATGAGCTATCACCATGGTCCCTTGTGCTCTTCCCACCCTTTTTTTTTTTTTCAATTTTATTTTTATATTCCCCATACAATTGCCACCCTTGTTTTGATTCTACTCCCCTCTCCCCACCTGAAGAATGTCTCTGGTTTATAGTTGCCTGTTGATTTTGACTTTTACTTTATGATAATTAGTTTTTTTTCCTGATCCCTTATTTGGGTCCTCTACATTCCTGCTATAAGTGAGACCATCCAGTAGGTTTCTTTTTCTTTTTGGCTTATTACACTGAGCATGAGCCCTGATTGAGTTGTTTTAAGGAACACCAAACATTGTCATCTCCTTCTGCTGTCTTTCATGATCATTGTTTCTTCCTTTGTTCACAGAACTCTTGCCTATTTGTTTCTCATAGTTCTCTCCTCCTCTCATTGTGACTAGAATGCTTTCCTATGTGACTAAATGACTTCTATCACTAGAATAAAATGTAAACTGTGATTGGTATGTGAAATACTTTTTTAATCTACTCCTGCCTGCCGTAACACCTAGTCACTTGACATTCTACACCAAATAGAATTTGCTGGTTCTTTCCTGCTCCATGCCTTTGCCTGTGTGCTTTCCCATGCCCATCCTCCTCAACCCCTCCTTGTTCACTTGACTGACTTCTCTTTTTAATTCACATCCAAGGTCAAGCATTATCTTTCTATGATACTTTTTGACTCCCTTCTGTCAGACTTAAGTTGCATTTTCTGCAGCTTCCACCTTTGTCCACTTGCACCCAAAAGAGGACAGCAGGCCACTCTGGAACTAACCACCATGTGACATTGTGGAAAGGAATCCAACATTTAATGCAAACATAAACATTGTTCTTATTGAATTGGAATGTGGTAAATGTTCCCCAATCTTCCTTGTTCCCAAATAATAAACATTTATACATAATTTATTTCTTTGGAGAGGCCATATTTAAACCTTGAAAAAGTTGTAGGTGTAAGCTTGTTGGAGGCAGCTTTGAGGGTGATGATGGTGTATGTAGATTGGGAGGAATGGAGTTGTTAATTATAAGCACAAACATTTGAGTTACAGAGCTTGCAGTGGTTTATTGAACAGAATTATTTTGTGAGGTAGTTTTATTTTTTTATTTTATATATTTTTTACATCACTTTTCATTTTTATACAATGTATGCATTTTCATCTTGGTTATAGTCCCTGTGAAATTCCCACCACCCGTGAGCTATCACCATGGTCCCTTATGCTCTGCCCACCTGCTGGCTCTCCATACGCCATATCTCAAGACAGAGAGCTTTGGGTTGGGGAGCTCAGGAAACCTCTGTGGAACAAAGAAGGGGCTCTCCCCACAGACAGAGGTGAGCCCACACCTGGCTGTGATTTGGAGCCCAGAGGGGGAGCAATAACAATAATAGTTTCATTTTTATAGTGATTCTCGTATGAAATGCCAAATATACATTTACATAGGAAGCCCTTGCTTTTTTTCCCCATGGCCCCTTTCATTTTGTTGGTTTGAGTCTTCTCTCTTGTATTTCACCTAAAAAGTCTCTTCTTAGTAGATTCCAAAACCCCACCAAATTGCCACAAAAGCAGGTGTGAGGAAGAGTGAACGATCCTATGAGCACAGTTCATTGATTAGAAAATATTGAATGAGACTTGAATATTGTAGTTTTGTGACTATTAGTTACTAACATGAAGCCCTCTTATGAGCTATAATTTGTAGTGGGGGTCATGAAATAAAAAT